TCTCTTATACATGTTAATGAACAACTGGGGGTCGAGAGTAGAAAAAAACATTTTGGCGATTTCCGCATCAGCTCTTAGTTGGTGACCATTTTTCTTCGAAACAGGACTCGATAGTTAAGGAGAAATGTGTGATTATGAACGACAGTGATTAAAGATATCACATCATATCAGAGTAACAAATCTTGTTGATAACTCCCCTCTGCACACCTGTGTTGACGATACAGGACTATATAACCTGACTTTGATCCAACTCGCTACACATCATCTCTGTCAACCGCTACCATGTTGCGACTCTCGCTACTTCTGGCCACGACGCTCACGGTGACTCACTCCTGAATGGGACTGTGGCAAGGTGTTTCGAAATCATGAATCAACCATTGACTCTCATTCTGATATATTTACTTTCCTCTCCTTACGCTTCAGTTGGTGCTGTGCCGGAGTCTTCCCAGTAGCCGGGATGAGGACCTGGTCTGCCCTGACGGATGGACCCTGTTGGAGTCCTCGTGCTTCCTGGTGACAGAATCGTCCGGCAACTGGTTCGAAGGGCAAGACTTCTGCAACAGCCTGGAGGCCTCGCTAGCCACTGTGTCCAGTGCTTCTCTGCAGAAAGCACTGTCGGGTCAGAACACTGTGTCTGATGTTACTTCAGAAGGATTTTGTGTATGGCATAAATATTAATGATTCCTTTAACCTGTCTTGCACAGGAACTCGGCCATTTTACTTGCTTTTTCAGTTGCCTTGTATAAGCCCACCCTGTCAGATTGCCTCTCACCTACAGGTATGCTGAATGGAGACACTTGGATTGGTCTCACCGATCTCAAGGGCGACCATAGTTATTCATGGGCTGATGGAACTCCCTTCGACTTCTCCAGGTGAGGCTTTCCTGTGGCCGCTAAATGAGAAAACAAATAGCTCACTCAAAAGTAGGGAAATGCCTAGCTCCAAATTCAGTAGCATATTTGGATTATAAAAGGATTCCCAAACGCGTAACGCATAAACGTTAAGCATTATTATTATATTTAGACAAAAGATCCATTGGTAAGTCACACTTGTCTCTATTCCAGCTGGGCAGAAAATGAACCCAGTAACTCGGGAACCTTCTGGGTATTTGGCGAGAGAGAAGACTGTGTCGAGATGCGACAGGAATTCCTCTATCTCTGGAACGACGCTCACTGTGATGACGTCAAGCGGTGAGTAACCGTCTTATGATACAGACTGATTGTCTGTTTTTCTTTTATCTTTTAGTCCTTGTGAAAGATATAAGGGTTAAATAATGTTTACTTTTTAAACCAGATTCACGTGTAGTCGCCCAGCTGATCCAGCGCCCACCACCACTACCACAACAACTACCACCACCACCACAACCACCACCACCACAACTACCACCACTCCAGCACCCGCCTGCGACGAAGGCTGGGAGATTAACGAGCTGTCTTGCTACCTGGTGGTTGAAGATGTGGCCTCCTGGACGGACGCCAAAGGCAACTGCACGGACCTCGGAGGCGTGCTGGCCTCCATCACCAGCGAGGACGAGCAGGCGTTCGTGAGCGGTAAGTCTCGTCCGGGCGACGGCCTCCTGCAGGGCCATCAGCTGACTCCTCTTTTCATTTTGGTTTGCTTCCTTTTCTCGGCTTCAAGTGATACTGACTCTTCCTCTCTCGCTCTCAGGTCTGCTAAACAGCAGCGCCTGGATTGGTCTCAGCGATCAGAAAATCGAAGGAAAGTATATCTGGGAGGACGGTAGTCCTTATAACTATAGAAGGTAAGTTACCTGGCAGTCAATTTCAGTTGTCTCTTACTGTTTTCCCTTCATTTTTGATGCAATAGTATCATTCTATATTGTTTAAAGTTAGAGTGCCTGTCATTGTAGTTTGAGATAGTATTCCCTCTTCTGCAACGCAGCTGGAAGGAAGGGGAGCCCAACAACTACTACTATTACATCACCCTTGGCGTGGGCGAGGACTGCGTCGAGATGAAGAAGGATTACGACTTCCGCTGGAACGACGAGCTGTGCCCAGCTGAAAGGGCGTGAGTAACCCTTCTTGACCTGTGAAAATGCTAGCTTTGTAATTTTCAAATGCCCATGTCTCTGTTACTTATGGCTTTGTAATCTTCATTAATGCCACGTATATGTCCGTGTCTCTGTATCTTCTTACTGGTAACCCATGTTCTGCTTCTAGGTTTGTTTGCGAGCGACCTGCAGAGTAACGCCGATGTCTCCTTCCCAGGTTGACTTAAGGAACAGAATTCGTCTTCTGTATTAGGATACACATTCAAGGATCCTTGATTTGCAATAAATTGAACGGAGCATCAATTAAAGTATTTTTACTTACACACGTGCATGAAAAACAAGATACCGATGTGTGTGTGTGTATACATATGTGTGTACGCGTGTGTATTTCTGCCTGGAACTGTACAACTGTGCACACACATACATATATATACACACCTCATAATAGAAATATATATGATACTGGTAATAGTAAATGATATTAAGAATAATAGTAATAATAATGATGAGTTATAATGTTAATGTTATTAAGGACACTAATAGCAATAGAATAGAAAATAATAGAACAAATAGTAATAGAAATATGGATGATAGTAAAAATAACAACAAATATGATAACGATAAAGATAAAAATAATCACATGATTAACATTAATAATCATGAACATCATGTTATCAGTCATCACCAAAAATTACCATATATCACCTTCACATTAACCACCTTGTAAATTATCTTGTCCAGAAATGATAAAATAAGTAAGATATAAATTTATTCTGTTGCAAGCATGACCAACCCCGAGCTACGTGCCTTGCCAGCCACTAGGACATGTTATCAACAAGAAACACGGATGGATGTTTGAATATGCAAGTTAAAGGGATCTAGAGATGTTGATGAAAGTAATAGTTATGAAGATAGTATTGATAATAACAACAGGAGTGATAATGATGGTAATGACAATTATAAGAACAATAAGATCAATGATAATTGTTATTAGTTTCACAAGTAATAGTACTGATAACGGTAATAATAATAATAATGATAAAAATAATAGTGAAAATAGCCTTAATCATTACAATCATGACTATTGGTAGTAATAGCCTTAGTAGCCGGTTGTATCACTGTTATCATTGCCATCATTATCCCAATACCAGCCAGGATAACAATAAGAAAGATATTAACAAGCAAACAAACCTACATCTTTCCATAATCATAATGACAACCCAATTTTCTCCAATGTGTAGATCAAATTTGAATTCAAATGCAGACCTATCACTTGACGCAATTTGATAATAACCTTTGCACACCTGAATCGGACTTGGAGGACTATAAATCCAACATCAATCAAGCAAACGAACACTATCTTCTCCACCAACCGACACCATGTTGCGACTCTCACTCCTTCTGGCCAATGCGGTCTCGGTAACTCGCTCTGCTCGTTCGAAACTGTGATATTAGGAGATTCGAAACATGAAGTGAAGCCTGATCCATTCTCTCTCTCTCTCTCTCTCTCTCTCTCTCTCTCTCTCTCTCTCTCTCTCTCTCTCTCTCTCTCTCTCTCTCTCTCTCTCTCTCTCTCAACCAGTTGGTGCTGTGCCGGGGTCTTCCCAGTAACCGGGAGGCGAACGGGATCTGCCTTGACGGATGGACGCTGCAGGAGGCCACGTGCTTCTTGGTGTCGAATTCGTCCGGCAACTGGTTCGAAGGGCAAGATTTCTGCTACCGCTTCGGGGCCTCGTTGGCCGTTGTGTCGAGTGCCTACCAACAAGGAGCGCTCTCGGGTTAGTGTACTGGGCTTTTATTGGGAAATGTGTATTCTAGGTCTTAATTAGAATATTGTGAAATAATTTCCATGTATCTGTCTTCCTTATCTATATGTTATAGAGGTTTGTTTCTGCGCGATGAAAATGGAATCAAACTCTTTTGCCTGTGTAGGTAACTTCTATTATATCTGTATCAGTGAGAAGTAACCTTGTAAATAATGAATATCTAAACATTTTCTTTATATCCCATGACTTTGCCCATTGCATGCAGGTATGTTGAACGGAGACACCTGGATTGGCCTCCACGGTCTGAATTTCGACCATACTTACTCATGGGGTGATGGAAGTCCTTTTATTTTCTCCAGGTGAGGTTTTCTAAAGATAAATAAATGAATACAAAATAATATTAATAATAATAATAATGAAAAAACTGATTAAGATTTTTTTTTTTTTTTTTTTTGTAGTAGGAAAAAGGCTTAACCCCGGAAGTAGTCAGCATATTTCGCAATATCAAAAGAGGAGTCACATAGCGCAAAAGTGGCGAATCTCCTTACTGTATTTAACGTAAAAGTGACAAATCTTCTTGCTATATTTAGCGTAGTAGTGACAAATCTTCTTGCTATATTTAGCTTAGTAGTGACAAATCTTGCTATATTTAGTGTAAAAATGACAAATCTTGCTATATTTAGCGCAAAAGTGATGAATCTCCTTCCTATATTTAGCCGCCTATATTTAGCGCAAAGTGACGAATCTCCTTCCTATATTAGCGCAAAAGTGACGAATCTCCTTCCTATATTTAGCGCAAAAAGTGACGAATCTCCTTCTATATCTAAGCAAAGAGGTAATGGCCACCACCAGCCAGTCCTTTTTTCCCGTTCCAGCTGGGCGGAAGGTAAACCCACCGTCTCGGGAAGCTTCTGGAACCTCGGAAAAATCGAAGCCTGCGTCGAAATGCGACAGGAGTTTCAGTACCACTGGAATAACGCTCACTGCGGTGACGTTAAGTTGTGAGTAACCTTCTGTTTCAAGGAGACTGGTCGACCGTGTTTATCCTATGGTGAAAGCTAGTAAACCTTCTCGAGTAAATTCACCACAACTCCGAGATTATCAAGCAGGAATTTTATCTCATAACGTTAGTGCAGTGAAGTATAACAATATAAACCAAATTGTTTAAAAGAAAAATGTTTATTATGTCTAAGCAGACTTTGCCACTCATAAATGAAAATGAA